AGAATGTACAGTGTTGGTTTTCAATTTTTTTTATTATTTTCTACACACTAAACAAATAATTATTCCAAAGACTTCCGACATGCTGGGTACAAAATCTTATTTCTCTCTACAATTACTATGTATTTCAGCCCTAATTAAAATTCCAAGAATGTACAGTGCTCAAAGTTTATATTGCTGCATGCAGAACATGTGTGTAGGAACATGATAGTTTTAAAACAGAAAACCCTATTGGAACTCTTGATAAAACAATAGAGGAATATTTTAAGGAAGGCAAGCCTTACAAGGCATGACAGAAAGTAGCAATGTTATAGGACATGCATCATATTTGTATCAGCCCCCAAGAAAGGCTAAACAAGCTGTTTCTTGTGTTTCTCATTTTGTGTTTGAGCAAGGTTTAAATCCACGTTTTGAATGATGAGATATGAGAAATGAAAGAAGATCCCTTGCTCAATGTGAAGTTCTGAATATTTAGAATGGTCTTGTGTAAATGCATTATTGATTGCCTTACAGTCATCAATGTATGTAGCTGTGATTAAATGTGTGGTTTACTTGGGTAAAGATGTAGGAAAATATCTTGATAACTGAAGTGTTTTGTACCACAATGGGAGTAGGCAGAGTCAGCTGCCTGATTGTGCTAAGATCCTTACTATGAGATGATCAAAACTGTGAAACTTGATTGACTGGTACCAAATTTTCTTAAAATAGTTTAACACTATAGTTGTGTGTGCCTAATCTCTCAGGACTAGAATGTAGGTAGATATATGAGACAGAAAGGGCAAATCACCTGGTTCCTGGCATTTTTAATGGATATAGGATTTGTTTCATTCAAAAGTCCAAGTAATGGTTGTTTAAAATGCATGCTGGTTAAGGTTTACAATCATCAAGATGAGTCCGAGTATTTTTGTACCTATGTACATGGGCAAATGCCATTGCTATACACAAACGGTTGTTGTGAAACTTGATTAGAACACCCAAGTTCAACAAAGCTTCCATTGTACAGTAAAACAGAACCTTGAAGACTGGGCTAAAGAGACTTGTTCTAGGACAATGTAAAATGCCCTGAAGTACTTCCTTTAGCACTAGGACAAATCGAGGCTATACTAAGAACTCCTTTGATGTGCTATGGGCCCCTCCCCTTCTCAGGAACTATATCTTTTATTACTGGGGGAAATAGAATTAAGAATATGTGATTGCCCTGCAATCTCATGTTTCCCAGATCCATAGCTCCCATCAACCCTCACCAGTGGACCACCCAGTACATGATGTACAGCATGGAGACTGGATGCTAGTGAAGACTGGAAGCAAGAACTGTTAGTTTTGTGTTGGAAGGGGCCCCTCTCAGTGCTGTTCCCAACCTCACAGCAGAAAAGCTGGAAAGTGTTATGACTTGCATCCATCACAGCTGAATGGAGAATGCTGAACCCTTTGGAGAAGACTCACAGACCAGGTCAAGCAGTTTGCCTGGCCCAGAAGAAGATGTCAGTGAGGCAGCCAAGGCCTTAGCAACTGGAGAGAGTGGGAAGAAGTGCCCGGAAGAAAAATGTCTATCACAGGACTCTTCGGGTCTTGGCCTGTAACTAGAAATGTAATAAGAGACACTTGAAAACAGTCTGGGAAAGTTGCCTTTCATGGAAGAAAGTAATGACTCTTGGGCCTCTGCTAGAATTTGGTTGACTGTAATAGTAGTTTGTGTGGCTTTAGAATCTTTTGGTAAAAAACATTACTATAGTAACCCTTCCAACAGGGAGCATAAAGGAATCATGGTCAGAAAGTATGACATAGTAGGTATGTCCTTTTGTGCACTTCTATTAACTTGGTGGGCAGGAAGGGAGTCTTGACTCTAGAACCCTCTGAGAATTCAATAACATCCTTGTTAAGACTATGGCACTCTTCCTGAATTTAGCTAACTAAATGACTGGGAAGGGGAAGAGGTCATCATTCCCTTCAGAGCCCATCTGCTAACATCAGAAGACTTGATTAGCCCCATAATCTTCTCAGATGACCCCATAAAAGAAAATCAGACAGGGGAAGAAGCCAGGTATCGTACCAAAACAGAATAGTGGGACACCGATTGGCAAGATATGTGTTGATGTTTCAGGAGAAACAAATTGGAAAGTGCTACCAGGGATTTGCAAGGCTCCCATTGCACCTGGACCAGAGACTGGAGCCCAGACCCCAGCTGGGGATCCAGAGGACTTGATTGCAGTGCATTCTCCAGATAGAATCAGTCCACCTGAATGGTATATGCTACCATTCAGTGCCACCGTGGAGCTGGAGACCAGCAGTTCGCTTGAGCTCAGGAGTTCTGAGCTGCAGTGGGCTCTGCCAACGGGGTGTCTGCACGAAGGTCTGAGGGGAGCTGCAGGCTCCCAGGTTGCCTAACTGGAGGTAGATGAACTCTAAAGATTGATGCTAATTGATAAGTGGTAAGAAAATGTGCTGATCATATTCAACATGTAGTTTATGTCCCTGTGCAAAAATTGAAAGGATTTAATTTGAAGATTTAGCTGACCTCAGGATTACAAGGTTTTATTTGTCTAAAATTGTCATTCTTTTATGGAACCTTCATAATTATAGTATTTATAAGTTGTTACTGTTATCTTCAATGTATTCTCAATTTACTCCAGCTTTGCTCTACCATTATGAGAAAACCCCTGAAGGGGGCTTATGATCAGTAGAACCAGTTCAGCCTAACTATGGCACTAAGGCAACTGTGTGGCATAGCTCCAAAGGGAGGAATTGATGAGGAAGCCCCAAAATACCAAGTGCTTGCATTGCAAAACTCCATAAGAAGAAGGACTGCAAATGACCCTGACAGTTAGCCTCTACAAGGAAAACAGGACACATGTTTAAGGCTGCTTACTTTAAATAAGAAATTATTTGCTTAAGATAGGAAATGTCTAAGGAAAGTGTAATGATGTGATGCTTTGTTTACTTTGCACTATAAAAAGGGAAACCAAGAGTAGCTTGGGGGCTCAGTTTGGAATGATCTACTGGATGTCTTTTATTTTGCAAAATAAAATTCTGATCTCCACATGCCTGTCATGTTTCTTATTGGGTAATAGCAAGCCAGGGCAGATACAAGTCCACATTTGGACAACAGAATGGTCCTCTAGGAGTGGGCTTTCTTCCAAGGCTTTCCCAGAACTGCCTATTATTGCAAACCCACTTGTTTCTTTCATCTCTGTTTACTGAGCCATCTATGCATCCCCCCCCCCCCCCCCCCCCCGCATATCTTCCAATGCCTGGTCTTTTAAACCTAGCCTTGTCTTTGCATCTCACTGAATAGCAGCTAGGCTGTTGTATGAATTCCCTTCATCTTTCCCTGGCAACAAGGTTACTGGATAAAGGGAACTACATCTTTTCACTTCTATTCCATCTTGTGCTAGAAGGGGTTTAGTATTGGTGAAGATGAGTAGTGGACAGGTACAGGATTTTAGCTTTTAAGAGCAGCATTGTAACTGTGTCGCTTGACCAGGGGATGTTGCAAGACCAGACGTTCACTAGCTCTCACTAGCACTGCTGCTGTGACCATCGCGCTGAGGCTAGGTGGAAAAGCCATTGATATAGGATCAAGTGAGAGACTGAGGTAAGCTACTGACCTCTGCCTAGTACCATGTTCTTCACTTAATACACCTGAGGCTTTTCCCAACTGTTCATGGCAGAAGATGTTGAATGTGTTACTATAATCCAGGAGTGCTAGTACTGGTACTTGGAACAGTGCTTGCTTAATCTGACTGAATGCCTGCTCATGTGTGTCTCCCCACTGAAGAAGTTCAGGCGTTTCTGCTTCTAATGAGAGGTTTTCTAATTTTTCAGAATCCATGATCCATTGCCCACAATGTCCCCAAATCCCTCTGATTTGTCTTTGCATATTAAGTTGGGGTATTTTTGATTGTTTCTATTCTTTGAGTTGTTAGCTCTCTGCCTTCCAGTGGGAAGGAATATCCCAAATATAGGAGTTCTTTTTGAACACACTGGACTTTGGTTTTGGCCACTTGTCTTTTTGCCAATTGCTGTAAGCCATAGACTGAACCTGAGATACATTTTGGATGATCTGGACTGACCAGGAGCAGATTATCCATGTATTATACCAAAACTCCTCACAGAAAATGTTTGAGTCTGGGGAGTTGAACTGAGAAAAGTGGACAGATTCCCACCACCCCCTCATACATCCTTATTCATATGCCTTCGTAGTTAGACCTCCCTATATGAGCATTCCTTCTCTGAGTGGCTTGCCTGGCCACCATGGAAGTATTCACACATATTCTTTGGTTTTTCTGGCTTGGGCTGACCTGGCTGACTGAGGTCTATTCCTTGCCATGTGACACCTTGCCCCTTTCTTCTAAATCTTCCTCACCTACCTCTGCTGTGAGAACTCCTACCCTTGGGGGTCTGTGACTTGAGTTGGGCTGCCTGCATGACTAAAACAGAATCACTGAAATCTTCCTAAAGCTTTTCTTGGGGCTCTAAACAATGTTGGACTGTGTCTAAGATTTCTCCAGTGGGTTTATTTTTCCATCCTACTGTTATGTCCTTGAATCTCATTTCCTCAGTACTGAGTAGACCATTTTAACAGGACATTTACCATTGCTGTAGAGGCATTTTTCTCTCATCTTGTACACCTGAATAATTTTCAAAGCCTTCTAACAACCTGTGGCAGTAGTATGTTATCTTTGACAAATCTGCCTTTGAAGGCAACACTTTTAGCCATCTGACCATATAGGGACACTTTTACTTTGTTCCTGTCCCATTATGGCCCTTTGTGGAGGTCTTCTCACCCACTTAAAGTATGCTGCTCTTAGGACTTAGATCTTCTTAAAGAGTGAACCTCGAGGCTTACAGGCCCCTTTCTAGGCCTTACCCTTTCCTCATGTCATATGAAAGCGTCTGGGTTATGTGGGACTCTGGGCAGCATCTGGAACCCTTGTAAATTTGCCAAGGACGGAGGGGATAGTTTAGCAAAGCAGGGATTCCTGTCCATTGTCCACTTTACTCACCTGATTGGCTGATGATGTGGTCACCTGGATGACTGCTGAACTCCCAGGCTGGTATCTGAGCATGGAGGACCTTCTGAGCGGATCATGAAAATACCCAGGGAGAACAGGTATGCTGGGGGTGTTCAAGCAAAAGAATGTTGCTATTTATTCAGACTTACAGGAAATACATGCAGCAGGTAGGTACAGTGGTACCTCAGCTCACAAACGTCTCAGTTCATGACCAAATTGGGTTGTGAACAGAAATTTCTGAAAAATTTTGCCTTGGGTCACAAACTCTACATCAGGTAACAATCGCGGTCATTCCCGCCTCTCCCCCCAAGCACGCCCGCAATCACACCCGCCTCATTTTTGTGATTAAAAAAAAAGAAGTTACAGAATGGATTAACCTTATCTACATTGAACCTTATGGGGAAATTTGACTTGGCTCACAACCAATTTGGGTCACAGTCAGTGTCCTGGAACAGATTAAGTTCATGAGCCAAGATACCACTGTATTTCATAGGGGACTGAAAGGAAATGTGCTGTACAAGGGCCTTGTAAAATATTGTAGTTATGTGCACAGGTTGAAGGAAGGTACAGGGGAGATCAGAAAGGCAGTTTGCAAGAGGTACATGAAGGTGGAAATAAAAGGATGAATGGGTGAAATAAGGGACAAAAGGTAAGGAGGTTTCAGGGCAGATGTACACTAGCCTATGGTGAAGGATCAGGGCTAACAACGTAGTTTCTCTATCAGGTCAGGATGCCCATCTAAAATTGTTCCTGTCAGTTTCAAGCTTTCTACAAAGCTTTGACTCCCTGAAGAAGTTTTCTCAGTTCTGGGAAGTCTCATAAAGACAAACATAAGGGATTCTTTTATTCATCACTGAATCACAGGGTTCCAGGGTTCCACATATCACTGGTTCAGGGCTTCATTGGCAATTGAGACACTGCCAGCCATTGAGGTTCCCCTTATTGGAGGCTTATAGAAACACAGAAACAGAGTGAGTCAGAAGGGCCCACCCGGGCCATCTAGTTTTACCCCTGGCTCCAGCCGGCTTCGCTCATGACATGCCTACCATGGCATCATGGCATAGCATCATGGCTTGCCTTAAGGCCTAGAGCTGGTCAGAGACTCATAAAAATCATTCACCATTCATACACATTGCTCAACCTCCCAGAACAACCCCCTTTCTGGTTGTGTGCACCAATTGAGAGAACCCGCTCCTCCCAGTCACCTATTCCACCATCAGATCCCAGATAAGCCCACAACTGTTGTGGTCTTCAGTTGGGTAAGAGACACTCTCAGGTACAACACAATCTTATTTAGGCTACAGCAGAGAGACCACCTGAAGTGGGTGGAAAACCTCCACCTAGTTACAAAACTGCTGACCACAGAAGTACTGATTGCATGGTTATGCAAGCTTGTGCATGTGTATACAATTATTAAGGCTTAATAAATACATTTATTAAGCCTTACTAGGACATCTAGTGATTTTATTATTTCCTGCAAATCAGGTATCTGGGACAGATAACTTCCATAGGATGTGGTTGTGGTTTTGTCTATAGGTTGATTTTTCTCTCTCTGAACTCCTTTTGTAAGAGGTGCCTCCTCTACCTCAACCTTTGCCAGTTCTAAGATGGTGCCTCTCAGGTCAAAAAAGGGACCAGACCATTATGCCCCTGTATCCTTTTTCATTTTCTCCCTTCTGAAGAAAGCATGGAGTTCCATGCCTATCCTGCCCATGCAGAAATTCTTCCTAGCACTGACACAGTGCCTTAGTGCCTGCATTTCCCAACTCCAGCTCTAGGTGCCTGCAAGCTCTTGGGCAAAAAAGCATCAGAGGGCTTCCTCCTTTGGTGACTGGTCTACCTTACCACTGCCCTTGTCAATAGATGCTGTCACTTCTCCTCCTCTTCAGGGCTGGCACTTTCTTCCTTGACAGTGGGAAAATCAGTAAGCAAGTGGCAGCATTTGCTGCTCCTCCTTTTGGCCATCACTGTTGCATGGTTCAGAGCAAGAGGCAGGTGAGCAAGCAGACTGCAGTGGTAAAAAGGTGGGCAGTTCTAGGGACCTCTTGTCAGGGCAAAAGTGCGGAAGCTTGGCAGGAAACAAGGCTTGCCATCCCTACTGCAATTTTGGACCTGAGATTAGAAATAACAGCAGGGATTCCTCTGGAGCTCCTGCAGGAACTCTAGGAGGTCTTGCAATTCAGCTGACTTGATGCTTCTGCAATCCTGGTTTACAGGGCACACGTACACACCAGTAGTCATCAGATCAGCTTTCACATATGTTTCCCCTTAGTTCCTAAACATGTTGAAAAATGTGTGATATGCCCATGATCCTTTAGACTATTGGTGCAAATGCTTTCATTTATATGAGGGGCACAATGCACATAAAACATGTCTTGTGATGCAGACATATACCTTATATTTGGTTTGGTTTTTCTTGGCTGCATCAGCTATGTTTCAGAAGCAGCTATACATCTGAAAAAGCGAATATGACGGTAAACCAGTTTCTTTTTATTCTGTGGCACAAGAGTAGCGTCTCATGCGCAGCTCCAGAGTTGGCTTCTCACCCTGCGAAGGATGCGGACTAAAGTTACGTTCTCCCCATCCTCGAGAGCCGAGGTACCAGGCTGAGTCCGCGCAAGCGTACTGGGGCTTCCGAGCTAAGGAGGGGCGGGAGGAGCGCGAGAGCTCGCGGCTTCAGTTCTCCTGTCGCAGTTCAATAGGCGAAGTACGCCTGCGCGCCGCAGAACGGAGGAAGGCGGGGCCGCGTGTTTGGCGCGGCTCACTATTTGGCAGGAAGGTGCGGAGGCCTCTCTCCTGGCAGCGACTCCCGTGCTGGCAGAAGGGAGGATCCCAATGTGGCAAGCGAGAGGAGGGCTAAGCGGCGGCGGCGGCAAAGGAGGAGGGGGCCAAGCGAGACAAGGGGAACCGCCGCAGCAGCAACTGCCGCCGAGGAGCTGAGCGGCCTGGCCAGGCAAGCGGGACTGGCGAAGCCTCTGCAGCACTGGCCCCCCCGCCGACGCCACCCCCCCGCCGGGCACCGCACGCCCGCCCGGGTGGAGGCGGAGGCGGCGGTGGAGGAGGAGGAGGAAGTGGCAGCGGCAGCGGCGAAGAAGGAGGCTCGGGCAGCAGGTGAGAGAGCGCGAGCGGGGAGGAAGCGAGGGAAGCGGGCAGGGAAGCGGGCGGGGGGAAGCTGGAGCTACCGCGCCGCCCTTGGCCTGGGCAGTCAGTACCGGCCATGGCCGGAGGGAGTCGCTGTGGGGGAGCCGCCGCCGCTCCCCTCCCTCCCTCGGGGCTGGCGTTATTTATTATTCATTCGCGGCGGGGCGCGCTGCTCCTCCCCCGTCCCTTTTCTCCGCCGCCCCCACCCCTCCCGGAAGCTGTTGCCATGAAGAAAGAGGGAGTGAAGCCAGAGGGGAGCTCCCTCAGTAACCTGGTGGGGGAGCGGGAGGCGGCCCTCTTCCCCTCCCCTCCCCTCCCACGGCTCGCTAATTGCTCCTCCTCTTGGGGGGAGGGGACGGGGGGGAGGTGCCAAGCCCTGCTTTTTCTCTCCCCTCCAAAAAAAAAAAAATTAAAAAAAATTAAAAAAAGGTTTTCGCCTGAATGTTCCCCTCCTGCCCTCCCTCCTCCTTCGCTATTGTGTCAGGCTGGGGCCCCTGCAGGGGTGCTCAGATCCCCTAGATCCTCTTTCTTCCCTCTCTACTCCCCCACTCGTCACCTTTATCCCCTTCATAGTCACAGGATTTGAGTCTCCTTCAATGCTACTGGGAATTGTGGGGTCGCGGCGTGTGTGTGTGTGTTGTGGGGGAGCTGAAGGAAGGATGCGTTATACGTGGGGATGGTGAAACTGTTGCTGCTGGTGCTGGGAGCATTTGCGTCGCCTCCCCCCCCCCCCCCGCTTTTCCCAAGCAGTCGAATGGGGTAGGAAAGAGCAGCATACTCCATCGCACCGGACACAGCAGCTGTGTGTGTGTGTCTGTCAGGCTTTGCTGGGTTCCTTTGTCTGCTGTTGCTGCCTATCTCTCCTCCCTTCTCTCCTTTCTCTCTGCTCTTCTCCCTTCCTTCCTTGTCGCTCTTCCCCCTCCTCTTTTTCTTCTCTCTCTCTCTCTCTCCCCCCCACCCTGCTCTTCCTTCACAGACTCCAAGAGCTGCTGCAGCTGCAGGTTTGTAAATACTGGGGACACACACACACACAAAAGCAAAACATGGCTGACGCTCTGCTTTTTCCTCTGTAGAGCTCATTTTCTCTGCTTCTCAGCCTTTCATCCACTTGTGTCGTTCCCTCTCTTTATTTTCCCTCCCCTTCCCTCCCCCCTAAAAGGAAAGAAAGGCAGTTCACCCACCCTGGTGTGTCTGTTTCTGTGTGGTTGCGTATCAAGGGTAAGGATCTTTGCTCTAGAGCTTTTTGGGGCGGCGTATTGTGTACAGGATGATGAACTAAAAGTCCAAAAGATTCTGGAAGCTTAGTTGAGGCCTTGTAGAGGGGGAGGGGTTGAGTGGGGCGACCTCTGCTGAGAAGCTTGACTGGAATGTGCGTATCTTCCTAGGTGTGGGGGAAGGGAGGTGGATGCACCAAAATGTTGGCAATGATTAAATAGGTATTATGTTAGCAAATATACTCAGGGCTTTTTCTTTTATTTTGAGACACTGCCTGCCATCAGACAGCCTGTTAGCTCTGAATAGGGTGGCAAAACTACGTTTTCCCCAGCTCGATCCACCCCTCCAGTTAATATGCCAGTATCGTAAATAACTGTTGTGCTATGACAAATAAAACTTTGAATCATCACAAAAAATTTATAGCATAATTTGCCCTTTTAATGACCCTATCATGGCTGAAATATTTGCATACAATTCAAAGATTGTGCCTGGTTCTTCAGTGCTTCAGAAAGTAGCAGATTTAAGATTCATCGCTATCCCATGTTGAGTAGCAAAAAATATCCAACAGCTTCTTACCACTGAAGGCTTTTCACCCCCAAGTTCCTGGTCAGCTACCAGCACCCCCTTCTGGCTTCTAGAAAACTTTATAAAACAGTTTTGAACAGGATACGAGTACATCTTTAGCTGACAAGCTTTTCCACCCTGCGCATTCTTCTGTTGTAAAATGACCTTGAGTATAATTGCATGTTTATTTTTAAAAGATATTAATATACTAGAGTGTTCTCTGATTTTGTGCTGGTCATGGGTATCTGGCTGCTAAAAACTATTTTGCTATTGTATATTACACATCGATCTTATTTGGAATGCATTGATAATGGTTAGAATCCAGTCTTTATGCTAATCTTTTACACCAGTGTTTAAATAGGATTGGTGGAAGGTTTAAGACAGAAGTATTCACACAACATATAGTTAAGCTATGGAATTTGCTGCCCCAGGAAGTGGCGATGGCCACCAATTTGGATTGCTTTAAAAGGGGATTGGACAGATTGATGGAGGAGGAGAAGGGCATGGATAGGACATGATCTAGTGCAAGTTGGTCACACATAAAGCCTGAGATATACAGAGTAAACTACTGAAATGAAACAGCGGTTTCATTCAAGGAGGAGATGGCTACTTGTAGCTACTAGCCCTGCCTGCGATGTGTTGCCTCTTTTTGCCAAAGGTGGCCTGACTGCATACACCAGTTGCTGAAGAGCTTGGGCAGGTCAAAGTCTTGCACCTCTCTTGTTTGAAGGATCCTGTGGACAGCTGGTTTTCCACCATATATATGGAGTGTTGGACTGATGGATCTTTGGTTTGATTCAGCATGGCTTTTCTTATGTTCTTAAATACAACTGTATTTGTGCATCATGAATACAAGTAGTAGTACTTTTCAAAAATGCAAGATAATTGAAATTTAAACTTGAATGGTGACTAGTAAAATTTCTTTGAAATTGCAAAGTAGATTGGTGGAATGATGAAATGTTTAGCTAAGGGTTAGGAATTGGAATCATAAGATTAATTGCCCCATGACAGTGTTGCATAAATGCATGATCAGGAGTCTTGTCAGTATACGTTATATGTATAAATTACATGTCAGTATACATTATAAAATGTTTTCAAAATGCTGAAGCTGAATAAAGGAGGTCCCCAAAATGAAGGTCTGTACGACTATTGAAAAGGAGTTAATTAGTCTCCTTAATTAGTCTCTCTTCACCAGTGGGGGCAATATGAAACCAGTTCTTATTTTATTTATTTATTTAAAAAACTTATATGCCGCCCCATCACATGAGCCTCGGGACGGCTTACAGTCATTAAAATCCCGTATAAAATGCAAAAAATTTATCAAATAAATAAAATACATAAAATAAAATAGTGGAAACAGCCTGGTCAATTTAAAATCAACAAGTAAACCATTAACAGTTAAAATAGCATTTAAATAAAAATGGGCTTGGATGGTGTTAATGGATGATGTTAATGGATGACACAGTGCCATCAGTTACCTGTTGAGCTAAGTGGATGGTGTCCTGTGCTGTGTTTGTCTCCTGAGGGCAGGTAAACCTGTGAACTCAATAATCAGGGCATTCTCTATGGTAGCCCCACAGGTTGAAGCATTCCTACCTCTTACCTTCTCTCCTAAGACTATACAGTGATGTGTAAAATTTCATCAGACACTTAGGGAAGTTGTTTGGTGTTTACTTCAGCTACATTAGAATTAGCTTAGTATAATTTCATAGCCTTTGTTCTGTGACAGTGAACCAACAGCTAGGCCTTGATGCAAGGTGAGGGCCATTGCTCCAGTGAGAATAGCTTGGTGTTAAAAAACTACCTGTATTTCTAACAGGTAGTTGTCCTCACCTGACAAGGGTCAAAGGATGTTTTAACCTGTGGATGTTCATGCAGGTTAGTTTCTGAGTGCATTTAGCTAGAGAAAAGCCTTCAGTTTCAAAGCTTAAAACACTGGGTCAGAAAAGACTTTAAAATAAAAATCCTGGTATAGGAGTACTGTCAACAACTACAGGAGGAGAGTGATTTCTGGCATGATGGGATAAATCCACAAGAGAAATAAGCATAAGGCTTTTGGGTCTTGTTGTAACAGACTACTCTCTGTTTTTACCAATCTGACATATTTGAAGAGGCTGTAATTTTTAGCATGTTATTAAGAATTTGTATGATAAGCCAGCTTTTTGACTTGAAGTACCATGATAAAGTTTTGGTGGGAGGATGCTCTTTCTCTGGACAGAGGTTATCAGTGACAAAATGAAAGACCAAGGTGGAAAACTATTGTGCTGTTTTCATTGGAACTCAGATCACTGTAAGGAATGTGGGTAATCAGGAACTTGGCTCCAAGCATATACAGCTGTTTTAGGGCCATATCTTCCAGGTGACCTAACATCTCTGTACTTGCCTTGGAGTTGCTTTATGAGAATTGTATGGAACTCTAAAATCTTAATATGTGAAGCAAGCATGAACCAGTAATAACACAACATGATTTGCTAGGCTTATTTTAAAGACTGATTTGAGAGTACTATCTTCATACTCTCACTTAAGTGTTTTATTTTGCTTTTATCATGTTTTGTCCAAAACAAGCCAGTTAGATGACCCTATGTATATTTACTTTGGAATAAACCTGATGCAACTTTTTATACATCTGTTGGCTTACTGCTTAGACTTGTTCCATTTTCTAGTCCAGGTCCTTCAGTTCACCCCATAATTACCTTGTGCTGTTTCAATATAGTTGTACAATTTGGGTTGGTACTCAGGAATATTGCAAGCATGCTTCCATGATTTCCCATTGTATGCAGCATTATGCTTAGCCAAACTTAGTGAAGCCTTCACAATGGACAGAGATGTGTGTCTCTGTGCTGGTGTCAGTGTCCTTTTCTGACACTGTACTGCTTGAATGTAGCCTGGAGTGACCTAGCTGTGTGCCCCTTCCCCCATTAACCAGTTAGGTACTTTTCTAGAGTATTGAGTGGAGTTGTTGCTTCTTGCTGCAGTGTTGTTTTGTGGAAGTAGTTAGTCACACAGTGAGTTTGATCCTGGAATATAATGAAG